ATGCACCTCCTCTGGCTGGGTGCCACACTGAGAATGTTGTCGGTGGCAACGAAATGTTAGAGAGATGTAGGATTTATCACTGCTCTGGGGAGATGAACACGTGCTGGGAGAGGCAGGGGCTGTGGCAATCAGGGTTCCAGAATGATCTGGAAACTCCTTCCAAGGATTTCCTCATAACCTGCCTTTGGGCTTCTGACTTTTAACTCCTTTGTTAGACTGTCTGATGGTCCTAATCAGGACTTTTTAGGCTGCACATGACTGTAACCTATTTCATGCTAGTTCAAGGTCAGAAGGGAGAGTACTGGATCCCATACAGGGAATAAAAATAATGATGATGATGAACATTTATAAGATGCACTCTACATGCCAGACAGGCTTTTCAAATACTGACTCTCATCCTCAAAACAATCTCCCAAGGTAGACACAACCACCAGCCCACTTTACAGCTGAGGCCACAGGGGCGTGGAGAAGTACGTGCTTGTTCAAGGAGTGGCCCTCTTGCTCCAGAGCCCAGTGCTGACCACTGTGCAGCCCAGCCTCTTGGGAAGGGCCAACAACAGATTTGAACTCAGGAATGTGGGGTCTTGAAGCTCAGGAGAAGAAAGGGTTTTGTTACTGCTCTGCTTCCCTGGGAGTATTAAATTCATTCTTAGGTAGACACTCTCCTCATAGCAAGAAAGTCGGCCACTGCACATGGCTTGTCAGCTCCAAAAGGGAGAGAAACCTCCCTCTTGGGGCCTAGGCCCACCCCAACAAGCTTCACTGGGTTGGCTAGTCTTTTCCAGACATCAGCAGTGGCCAGAGCGATGGCGTGTTCTGACAGCTCTGGGTGGGCTGTGTTCTAGGGTTGGCTATGTGGAGGGAGGGAGACATCCATCGTAGGAAACGTGGAGTGCACAGTGGCCCACAGGCCAGTGATTTCCTGGTGGGGACATTTGATGGGGTGATGGGAGGCTTTAGCTACATGTGGGACGAGGCCTCCAGTAATTTTCTGGTGTCTGTGCTGTGACTTCTGTCCTAATCTTCACCTGTGAAGGTCATCCCGTAGCCAGATGTTATTCCTCTTTCTTCCTTTGAAGGAATTGTCTCCTAGGTCTTTCCCAGCCACTCTGTGTTCCATGCTAGTGGAAGAAAACAAGCAATTTGTTTATGATTCTCAACTTGCCTCTTCTAACCTAGCTGATGAAATATTTACGTGCATTTTCTTACCCTGAAAACATCCCTCACTCTTATCTTTCCATCCCAGCCTTCTGGCATTTCCCTTGTTCCTCCCTCCACCCTGTGCAGATGGTCTTCCCCATCTCACAGACCCTGCCTTGTGCCGACCTCCTCGCAGTCTGTGCTGGGGAAAGGGGGCTCCTCTCTGGAGCTGGGCTGGTCCCCTAAGGATGCAATGGGGCTCCACCCTGTGCAGATGGTCTTCCCCATCTCACAGACCCTGCCTTGTGCCGACCTCCTCGCCGTCTGTGCTGGGGAAAGGGGGCTCCTCTCTGGAGCTGGGCTGGTCCCCTAAGGATGCAATGGGAGCGTGGGCACATCTGGACAGTTGGAGACAGAGGACCACTGAAGTCAAGAGCACCAGCAAAATAGGACACAATCCCCGGAGATTAAACATCTGTTTCTCTAAAATGAACCAACTTCCAGAGAGTTCCCATTTGCTGTGCCCGCCTGATGCTGCTGCCCTTTCTGGTCTGTGTGTCTGCCCCACTTTCCACCTTTTCTCCTGAAGGCCACAGCACAACTTTCCTCTGCACCTGTTCCCACATTGTAAGGTCTTTCTCCCCTCCCTTCTTTCCTTTCTTCCTTTCTTTCTCTGCTATTGTCTGAATGTTGGTGTCCCCCCAAAATTCATATGCTGGAAGCTAATGCTCCCTCCAGGCACAGGGACCAGTCACCAGCTGACTGGGGCAAGCCTGGAGCTGCTGGGGGCTGCGTGGAGGTGTCCACCTGAGGGGGAGTGGCATGCAGAAGGCAGAGCTGGAGGGAGTGGGAGACCAGGGGCCAAAGACCCAGCAAGGCCTGAAACCAGTGCACCCTGAACCTTTCTGTCAGCTAAGACAACGCGTCCCTCTTGCTTAAGCCGGTCGGAGGTGGGTTTCTGTCACTTACGACCAAGAGTCCTGACACTAATGTCACAGATGTGTCTACTCTACCACTGGAGAGGGATAACATCAGTGAGGACAGCGCTGGACGCTCGCTCTGTGCCATGAGAGGTGGAAAGTGCATGGCATGCATTATTTTCCACGCAGTCAAGATCGTTATTACCCAGGGCACAGATGGGTAAGTGAGAGCTCTTTCAGTGTCCTGCAGCAGAACAGCCAGCAGGTCAAGCCACACCAGCAAGGACCCAGCACCTCGCTGTCTCCCCTACCTGGCATCCTCCTCATGCTCCACACAGTGTCCTCTGGTTCCTGACCAACCACCGTTGCCAGGCTGGCTGGAGCCACTTGTTACCTGGAATCAATTGGCCTACCATTGAGATAAAGACTGGTCAATCCTGCACAAATCTCAGCACAGAAAACTTGGAGGGAGGCAGGGGGAGGAGGAATTTCCGGAAGGAAACCCTGGACACATTCCCGGGAATGAGGAGAATGAATATTGGACAGAAAATCGACGCCTACCACTGCAGGCACTCGCCCTGTCCACACGGACCGCCCTACTCATCTGCGTTCTGTGTCTTCTCTCCTGCTTATGACCCGGACCAAGTGGTGGGCTCCCAGCTGCACACCAGCCCAGGTCTCCAGGGATGCCTTTCTCTCTGCCTTTAGGCTTAAACTCTCCTGGGAGGTTTGTGGATTTGAATCCTCTTTCCAGAGCACTCGAGCTTTGTCAGCCTCTCTGTTCAGTATGCTTATGGACTGCACAGCTTCCTGGCCCTGGCATCTGGATAGCAGCATCTGGAAACACAGCAGATATCCTTCATCTCGGGTAAGCATGAAGCAGAGCTATTGTACCGACTCTTGGAGTGAAACTGTTCACACAAAAGCAGGGCCCTCTTCCCTTTAAACTCACAACCATCCCTCTTTTTCCACCTTTGATTTGAGGGGAAGAATTTGGTTACGGTCATCACACCTGTGGTCGTGACACCCACCTGCCTGGCATGGAAAGCCATGCCACCTTTCCAGGTGAGGAGAAGACAGAGGCGGGGCTCATCCAAGGCATAGTTGGGAGGGTGACCCGGGTGTGGTGGAGGTGAGAAGAAAGGCATTCCTGATTTTGGTCCCAACATGTAAACACCTGAACAAAAGCACTGGCCTCTGAAATTGGGACTAAAGAATGCCTTGTCACCATGCCTACCAGGAAATGGCCCCACTTATATAGAATAAGGGCTTTAACAGACGCCAGGACACCTGATATTCCAGTCTGGGGCCAAACAAGAGGGTGCCCCAACTGTCACTCCTTATGCAGCTACATGAACACAGCCATGGGCCAGACACTGGAGACACCCCCGCCCCTGCAGAAATGAGCCTTTGCTCTTCCTGTTGGGGTAAGTGGAGGTGGAGAGGACTGAGGCCCGGGCACCTTCACCCTGCAACTCCTTTATCACCCAGCACTCAGCAATGCTGCGGGCGCACATGTGCCGCCTCAATACGTGTGTGTGGAGGGGTCACCCACATCCCAAGCTGCACTGGGGGGCCTCGGGGCCTCGGAGCGCTCAGTTCTTCTTTAGTCCTCAAGAAGTGCCCAATAACGAAAAAAATAAAGGGGGGTTGGGTCTTGGCTGGTTAGCTCAGGTGGTTAGAGTGCAGCCTTGGAATACCAAGGTCAAAGAGCTGGGTTCCCAGTACCGACGAGCTGCCCCTCCCCCACCCCACAAAAAGAAAAAGCCCCTGCCCCTCACCCTGCCTCCCCGGACGCCCTTCTGTCCCCATCCGTCCAGCCTCTCGCAGGCTTGGCAGCAGCAGTTCTCTGAGCCGGGGGACCCTGCTGTCTGTCGGGCGCCCCTGCGGGCTCGCCCAGGGCCGCGCTGGCCCAGCCCTCGCGAGTTCTGCACCCGGGGGCTGCGGGCTGGGGAGCCTCCACGGCGCCTGCAGGGCTCGGGCAGCCGGGG